GCATTTGTTGTGTGTGCGTGTTTGTCTGTATGTGAATCTATGTGTAATAAATTCTGCCGTCAATAAATATTTAATAAGTTTGTCGACTCTGGGCGAATGCACCCGTCAACTTTTATTTTTTTACCACCGGAAATAACTCTCGGAAATCACCTCAAAAACCTTGTGAAGGTAGTAAAAATATACTCTCTCTATACTCGCTCAAAACCTCATTGGGGTAAATAATTACTACCCTTCCTACGTTCAAAAACTCAGTTAGCACGAGAGTAAATTTTTACTTCGACAGTAGGTGGTAAAAAAACAAAACAGGAAAGGTAGTGCGGTAAAGGACAAGTGGTTTACCCAGTTTTTGAGGTTATTTCAGGTCACTTTCGTTTAATGTGTGGTTGCAGTAGTCGCAACGAATGGCGTTTGCTGAGGAGTCGGGGTCCGGTGAACAAGAAACGACATAACGCCCACAATCACAAGAAGTTTCGTTGCAGTTGCCACGCAGCGCACCCCACATGTCTTTGCTGCTCAGCGGCATCGCCGGTTTCACGCAACGCACACAATCCCAAGGAAGCGAATGGGAAACAAAGTTTGCAAGCGCCGCCAGAAAATGGCGTGCCTCACGCGTGCTGCCCGGGCGATTCGGCGCTGCACGCTGCATGCTATGCGCGCGGTGCGTCGTGGCCTGTCGTGGCGCCTGTCATGGCGGCGCCTTCCCGCGGTCTAGACTTCGTGGCGCCGAACGCAGCCGACCGCCAAGCGGAGGAGAACCCGCGCTTGCGGCTGCGGTATAGACTTTCACCATGCTTTTACCCTTTCTTTTTTTTTTTTTGGCGAGGGACGTGGTGAGGCTGTGTACACATAAGTTACAGCGTTGTTCATCGGTTACTACGGACAGGTTACGCTGCGCTTTTCGCGCTGGTAACGTAAGCATTGCTCGAAATGTGGATGTTGTAACTTTTAGGCACCGCAAAATAACGAAAACATGAAAATAAACTGCTTTGTAACCTTTATTTCATAAGTTACTCACACCCAAAAGTTACATTATAGGTAACCCTATTTAGAGTGCACGGGGCTTACAAACGTAACTCCTCCTTAAATACTCGGTAACGAGCGTCCGAAGACATGGCGTATGCTAAAACTACCGCACATAGCTCTCACACTCAAGTGTGCTCCCTCGATTCTGTTATGACTCCGAACGACATCGCAGATGTACGCAAAGACGAGAACAGCAAACAGAGAGGAGGGAACACATCGAACGGTAGCAGCCGCAACAACGCGCGCCCTCTAGAGCTTTTCCTGTAACTGGCGAGGTGTGTCCTAAACTTTTTACTACCGCGTACGTGCGGACAGCATCGCGCTATATCTGCACCTCAAACTATATGTATTTAAGCCAACAAAAGACATTATACACAGTGCGTCTAAGTGTCCTGTATACGCATATTTTTACGCTTCCACGCGCGGAGGCATGTGGCAACCTCCAGTATGGATGTAAATATTTTGACATAGACTAAAGCACACCTCAAAGCGATCCCCTTCAGCAATGCAGACACAATGTACGATTCGCCTTTGATAAGTGATTTTCAGCGATGCAATTGCTTACACAACAGCGCGCATAGCAGTCTCAACTCGTTAAAAGACAGTTTTACTTGGACAACTGCAACAGCCTCGCGGAGGTAGGATACTGTTGGGAACGACAGGCAGCCTATCTCCGCAGGGCTACTGCAAACGTCTCGCTAAAGCTGTGAAATTAATGCCTACGAAAGCAGAACACTGGCCGCACATGGTCATGTGTCTAAAGTTATTCCTCACTCCAAGCGTCACTGCCGAGCACGGTGCCTGCCGTGACGGCCGCGAAATTAAGATGCGCATGTTCGCGGGATCTCAAAAGTTTCAAAACTACGAGACCCGCAACGGGGCCAGCAGTATACGCCGGCAACGCATTGAAAGAGACGGAGGTCCGTTCCGGCGGCGGCACGAGACACCCCGGCGCCGGGGTGGCCGGGTGCACCCGCCACAACATCGCCGAACGGCAAACGTGTGATATGCGTGCGGCGACGCCTTCATCGCGGAAGCAATCGCGGTTCACGAGAGCGCTGCGATTTCGCCTGAAAATGTTCTCTCTTTTCTGTTTCCACCTTTCGAAGCGGGTCAAGTAACTACCCCAAGAGAATCGGCGTGCTACAACCCCCTTTTGACACACTTTTTTCTTAGAGTGTACGACAGAGGAGTTTCACGTTATTCATGTCATAACAAGACACAGATAGATAGATAGATAGATAGATAGATAGATAGATAGATAGATAGATAGATAGATAGATAGATAGATAGATAGATAGATAGATAGATAGATAGATAGATTCAGAGTGCCTTTGGTTCACAAAAGAATGTTTCGCATTTGAAAAAACAGAAATCATATCCATATATAATATAGTATAGTATAGCAAAAAGTGGGCAAGAGAGAGGTGAGAGGATAAAATCCTATAGTAGCCAAACCAGGTTCAGCCAAGTGGATCAATACATCCCCTGTGGCCCAGCATTTACACCAGTTTGTGCACGCGGCGCTATTTGCTTTTTCCTTTTTCGGAGAGGTGCTCAGCTTGAAAGTACAGGCACATGCAATGTGCTTACCTGCATGTATATCTATCATGTAAACAGCTGACAAAGTTTCTTATAGTATTTCGGCACAACAATGAAAAAGAAAAAACTCGCGTGGTTGACTTTCAACGGTGTATCCTTGTACGGCCTTGGCACATGAACGCAAGTGTTGTTGTTTTTTTTCTTCATTACGAGCAAAACAGTACCAGCTGATGTATTTGCATAAGTAGAGTATCTGCACGTGCACTGTGGCTCTATGAGTGCTTCCACGTTGTAAGGAGCATTTATTGCCCCTTAATGATATTCCACATGTACTAAGTGGTCATAACATGACCCATCGACGTCTACCATAAAGTTAACTGTGGTAACAAAGAAATAAACAATGGGCATCCGGCCAGCCTTTCGTGGAATCCTCTTGGTGAGCTTTAGGAAGGATGAATGGAGTACCAAGTTCGATGCAAAGCTCCTCCGTGCCAGGGCGTTAGCTTTTATCTTCTGCATTTGTTGGTGCTTCCTAGTTCTCCTTTTTATTTATATTTTATTTATATTTAGCACATTATGGGAGGGTAGGCTACGTTAGAGCCAGCTATCCCAACATCATGGCAGTAATGTACACTTAAACAAGGAAGTTAGAACAACCTAATCAATCGCCACCTCCCTTCTTTTTCTATTCTCCCCCCCCCCCCCCCCATTTTTTTAATCGTTAGAGCTTGGTCGCTGTGGGGATAGTTTTTTTTTTTTGTTGCTTGCATTGTCCATTGAAGCACCTTTAACATTCCCTCTTTCTTGTTCGTTCATCGCGTTCAATTTTCCAGCAGAGCCTTGCCACTGTTGTCAACGCTTGATGGATTAGTATGGCTTTGAATGCTTTCATACAGGATAATGGTTCTGTAGCCACCCATCCGCTCAAATCTTTGACACTTGTAGGATTGCCGTTTACGGCTGGCCATTGACAACGGGTGTGGAGTAGCATTTGGGCCACTGACGTACGGTGTGCGAAAAACGTAAAATGGAATTGTATGAAGGCGTTGCTACAACACTGCAATGATCAACGCAGTTGTATAAAGGCTATCTCGCTAGAGCAGCGAGAACATTGAACATGCATTCATGGTCGTATTAGTCGTATTAGGATCCTACACTAGTAATATACGTTGTGCCAAAAAGGAAGTACGGTTGGACTTGCGCGCACCAAATGTGTGTGCGCGTTAAGTTTAAGCTCCCTATTGAGACATATTTTCATGAAGAGCTGGAGTGCTTTGTTTGACTATTCATCTGGCATGCTACTCTAAGCTTTTGGTGATGATTGCGGTATATACACTGATAAACACTTTACATATACAGCCCTTAGGAAATCATTCTCATCACGTCTATGAATGACGTTCGCCTTAAATGAAACCCGTTAATACGGCCGCAAAGCTGTGCAATGAAGATTTGTGGGTGTCGTCAAGCTTTAGTTTCTGGCAGCTTTCTTCGCTGGTCTTTTCCAGGGTTCCTTACTTTAACCCTATAGCATTCATAACAACATCAGAAACATTATTATTATATTACAATAATAATACATATTACAATTATTATTGATGTACACAAAATGTGGAAGCAGCTACCCCTCTCTCACGTTTCTAAGCACGCGTCACTTTCACATGCTGTTTATTTTTATCACAGCTGCAAACCTCAAACGCTGCCACGTATAGCACTTGCAGAAAGAGTAAAAAAAAGCGCTCCATCATCGGCAGGTTATGGGCGCGAGCGCTGATATCAAACCGAGCGGCGTGGTGCAGCGGGAGAGGTCATCTGTGCACGCCAGAGTTGCGGTCGACCGCTCTGGAGCAACGACCATGGGCGCGCCTTTCGCCTGCGCGCGGAGCCCCCCGGCGGACGACCGCGGGACTCAAAAACGATCGCCCCCCTCCATAGCGGCGGTGAGCGCGAGCGCTCGTGCGCGCAGAAATACAGAAACGAAGATGGGGGGCGTTGCGCAGGCGTCAAAGGGTCCCCGCTAGTCATCCAATACGCGGCCGGTTATGACGGCTCCTCGGTTGGTGCCGTGACCGAGGGGCGGCGCTCTCTGCGGCGGCATCCCCTCCCTTCTTTCTTCGCCCACCGCCAGGGCCGCAGCGGCGCTGCAAGCGCTCCGATCACTCGAGCGCTGCTCGCCGGCGAGCCTCCATCCCAGCTCTGTGGTGTCCCGCCGACGGTATGGCGGGGGCCCCGCTGCGACCGGGACGCTGCTGCTTGTGACCGCCTGGGCGCCCAGACCGCGGCCGCCACCCCCGACTACGAGAGCCGCTGCACAGCAAGGAGCACGTCTTTCGTCGGCCGCCCATTGAACACCGTGCGCGACTGTTTGGCTCCTCACGTGGACCCCCATCCCGTGCATCTTGCGAACCTCGTGCACAGCGACCCCTGTGACTCTCGCCGCTCTGCATAGACCGACGCTGTTCAGTAGAGCTTGATACTGTTTGGAACATTGCCTCCGAGTCAACCTGGTGCTCCGACGAAATTTCTCAGGACGACAGGTGCCTCGCTGCGTCGCGACACCTGCTAGTGTGTCGTCGGGGAACTTGTACAAGACATCGCTTTGCGACCGCGTGCACTTTGCGTGTGTTGTCACGGACGAGCGTCGCTTGCCGTAGCCACGCTGGAGAACTTGGTGTGAAACCCTGATCGCCGCTGGCTGCAGACTTGAGTGACCGCCAGCCGGCTCGAGGTTGGCTGGTGCCGGAGGCACGTAGTTGTCGAGTGTGGTGACGGTACCGCGGTCCAGCTGACTATGTCCCGACGGAAGCAAGCTTGTCCCAGTAGGCACATCGCGTCACCAGCGTCAAGCTCCCTCTGCGTCGGGAATAGCCACAACGGTGAGTGCGCCGCGCGTGAAACTCGCGCCGCTTCCGCTGTCAGGCCTGTGGCGGCAGCGCCTGGTGGCGGAAAGCACGTGACACCGCGCTGCACGCCTTGAGCACAGCTGCATCCGGACAACGGAGGCGGGACGTTTCCTCATAGACTTTACTTTAACGCGGTCTCTTCATCAGCCCATCCATAGCCAGGTGCATGAAAACGCACAAGCGGTCACATTGCGTAACATTCACACATGAGGACCATAGTTTTTAACTTTACTACATTGCGCTTACACACACGAGCGTTAGTATACCATTACACATTGTCATTTGATATAGCCTCGTGACCGCATCGCTTCTTTAGCATGTGTTTCAAAACTTTAGTTTTGAAGCACATCTGCCTCACCACGCAATTGAACCCTGTGTCTCATATGGAGCCACTGAACAGCACGTGAATCGTCACGCCTGTTAAGTAGTAAGGGCGCTTGCAACCATTATACCACCCATAGCCTGTTGACCAATGTACGTGAACACATGATCGTTTTCTAGCAGAATTTGACGCTTACGTCGCCCTGTTTTTTTTTTAAGTAACTCGCATTCAAACTTGGGTGCCACAGGTACATGCTATGCGCGTGGGACGCTTGACGCAAGAACTACCACTGATAATATGCATTTTAATTCTTAAACTTTGTTAAACTGATTGATTGATATGTGGGGTTTAACGTCCCAAAACCACTATATGATTGACAGACGCCGTAGTGGAGGGCTCCGGAAATTTAGACCACCTGGGGTTCTTTAACGTGCACCCAAATCTGAGCACACGGGCCTACAACATTTCCGCCTCCATCGGAAATGCAGCCGCCGCAGCCGGCATTCGAACCCGCGCCCTGCGGGTCAGCAGCCGAGTACCTTAGCCACTAGACCACCGCGGCGGGGCAACTTTGTTAAACTACTCATGAATTTGATGCTTCTGACAGGATTGGGCATTAAATAACGTATGGCGCAAGCTTGCAGCTAAAAAAAACAATGGGGGGAAGGGGCAGGGGAGACTTAATGTGAACCTTTGTGGGGCAGATGGCTTAAGACATATTTATTTCTTTAGCCATTTTTCCTATACTCACCGATCTGCTTTTTAACAAATGGCTATATATATATGACGCATGTAATCTACAGTGAAAAAATTAATGAATATGTATAGTTGTATTTACTTATCCTGCGCAACTTAGGAAATCGTTAATCATACAGGTGTAATCATACAGACCCGTTATGTCCGATCTATTGCAAACTAAACCGAAAGGTTCGGTATGAGCTTTAACGAGTCGCTTGCTCATTCCACTGACCTATAGAAATATGGTCGTGTAGGAACTGCAGCATGTACAGGCAACGGAGCACAATGTGGGTGCCTGATACATCTATTTAGTTATACACCGCTACTCTATATAGGAGTGATTCAAAGGAGAGAACGCTTTGTGGGCGCAGTGAATTAAACTCGGCGTTCGTTTCATTCACTGTCCCGGCAGTACAAAAGCGGAAGGCGGCGGTATAGAATTATGTCGATATGATTTTGTCGCTTGCTTGGCTTTTGCGTGACAGGAAGCATTTTCAGCCCAACTGCATGGCGGTGGAACTGACTCGCACGATTTATGTCTCTTTCTCCTCCTTTTCCTTCCGCGTATTGCGGTTCTGCTCAAACATTCGTGGCTGCAATGAGTCTCGATGGTAATTTCCAGAGAATACTCAGAGGCACGAGGAGATTTTCCTGACGGCAAACAATAACTGGTCGTTGTACAAAGAGATTCGAGGCGCATTTGGTGCAGGCTTGATTGAATAGTCAGCGTCGCGCCGCATGAACAACCACACAGAGAAAGAAACACATATAGACACTACACACTGCCTTCAACAATCTCGACCCGCTCAAAGACGCGCACGTGAAAGAACCGGTGGTTGGAATATGCCCTATTGAGTTATTGAGTTACAGCTCGGTGCTGTCATGCCGCGGACAGGCCTTGTAGGCTATAGTATACCGTCGCATATGTGTTCTGGGAGAGCTTTTAAGTAAAGTGTAAACATAAGAGCTTGTTTTCTTTGTTAGGCACAATATTAATGAAAACTGATAGGCAATAATGACAGGGAAAGTATAGAGAATGTTGTAATAAGTAATTGAGTATGTCGAAGGCAAGCTAAACATATCCCTACGTCCTCTCGTCTCGGTCATCAAAATTATAAAACGTAATCCCCACTGGCAGCACAAGTGTAAACAAGAACGACATGCTACGTGAAAACCCGGACATAGCTGTTAGATGCATGCGGATTACGGAAGCTCTCCTATTCGCGCCAGCAGCCAAACAGTTTTTGGATCGTTTAAGCAACAGAAATCAGAAAAATAGGAAGCAAAATACGCGACCCGGGCCCCTATTATTAGCGTCGCAGTTGATTCGCGCGCTGTGCTTGCAAATAGTAGCAGAGGCGTTTGCATTATAGATGCGCGTGCATGGTTTCAATCTTGGTTGCGAGCAATCTCTTAAGAGTCGCACGCACATTTCAATTGTCCCCGTTCGTGCACTCTTGTCTGACTGGAAATGCACTAGATCGCGACCAGGATCGAAAACGTGCTCCATCTAGTAAGTATAACGCCACCTAACGCTGCATGCTTTCGTCGAATAAGAGGTTCTGTCAGCCATCGAGTTTTTTCTTTCTTCTTTTCGCGGATTTGTTTGGAGATGCTTCGGTATAGAGCGGAAAGGGAGGGGGGGGGGGGGTTCGCCTGACAGGACGAACTACACAGGGTGCCGAGTGTTTCCTTAATGTTTGCTCTCGTTCTCTTATTCTTCAGCTCGTACACAGTGGTCACGTTATAGTTTCCAGGATGTGCGAGATAAACTATTGGCGCGGACTTCCTTCTGAAACTCATCGGCTGTGACACGCGTGCGTTGAACTGTTCGAGAGGATCCGATAGTTGGATCGCTCAGTTTCCTGCTCCGCGCGAGGTTCCATCACGCTTATCGCTTACCTCTGGACCAGAAAAATTTAGTTCAGCCCTGCGCTTTACCGAAAACAAGTAAACGTGCTTTGAGTGAGCGAATCAAGAGAGAGAAGAGTATACAGATGCTGCTGATCGTGGAAACCGCAGCTCCGATTTTCTGTTGGGGGTAGAATGAATCTACGTGCCGAAGCACGCATATATAACCATGCCTGAGAGGGTGTTTACCAGCAGTTACTGTGGCCTGGAAACTACTTGGCGCGGTTGGACGCAACTTGCTTGAAGGCTTGAGAACGGCGAGACAAGCTGCCCCCCCCCTCCCCTTCGACTGCGTTTTTCTTCGACGCGACAAAACTGCGTCGCTCTTACTTTTTGCTTCTCACTCTCATGTCTTCTCATCGTCAATCTCTGTGTCCTTACTCTTGAGTGCTTCCTTAAAGCCCTTCATTATCAGAAGAATGCTTGGCCATTTTATACACATGTGCGAAGTGTGCCTGCTGAGATGAAATACCACGTGTGTTATGGTATGAGCATGTGCTTTTTTGATGTACTTACGAGTATGTGTCTGCATCACTTTTTAGAGCTAGGCATCGTATGTAGTATCAGAGTTGCAGATAGCCTTTTAACCAAGGCGAGGGAAGGGAAGTGATTGCACATGATATTGGGCGTATTAGCTAAATAAGGACCTTGTAAAATGAAGGAGAGAGAAAAGAATTTCACTGATGATCATGAGAGAGAGGGGGGTTTGTTTAAGATGAAACATGTTATCATGTGTCGAAACAAAGTATGAAGCGTGATTAACAGTCTCATAAAATGGGGAATAAAAAATTCATGTTTGGAATTCGTGACAACTAAAATATCAGGTCTATACCAGTTAAGTTGTACTGTATAGTGTTTACGGTCACTATGGTATTTCCCCATAACGTACATATTCTTGTGACAACTTCACTTGAGTGGGTCAAGCATGTTTGCATTGAGTGCTCATTAACCTCGTATATGTAACAAAGGTTCATAAATATCTACAAGAATTCATCGCTATAGTGCTAGTGTTTAAATCAAAACATTGCAGAAGTATAAGGGAGATGTGTGCATGAAGTAACGAAAAATTGTCGAAAAGCGTATGCCGCTGGAGCCAGTGTTTCGGCACGCGCATCTTGTCCTCACTTGTCGTCAATGCAGCAACCCATCTTGGCAAAGACCACTTGTCAAAACGCTGGCTCTGTCGACATGCTCTGCTCAACGGTTTTTTTTTTTTTTTCATTACACTGATGTTTGTGGTGGCTTTCCTGTAACCATCTAACCAAATTCACTTTTCGAATGCTAAACACTTACTGCATGCAACCTCGGACTGTTACTTAAAGTAGTTTACTTTTGTCGTAGTTCTCTGCGAAAGCCTAGGCACCTTATATGCCGATTGTGTCTAAGATATTGCGTACCATTCCTTTGACTCAGTTTCCTTCCTTTCCTTCTGCGCGACTGACATACACACACGAAACCGTATGCTGTAGTGCACACATTTGTAGTGTCATTGCGGGAAGTCTAATTTCATCTTACGCAACTTTAAAGATCCCACATCTGTCACAACGACGTGACTATAAACGCGCTTTAACACAAATGGCTCGATGCATAGCGCTTGTGCTTTGTGAATAAAAAGCGGTTGAATCATCGCATGTCGTGCCCATGTGTCCCCTCTATGTTGCGTTAAAATATCAGATGTCCGAGGCATGTCTCGACCAATAGCGAACGACCTGCTCTGTGCTTGAAAGAACGCCGTTGACGTCTTTTAAGTCCAAGGCCGGTCGGACGTGACAGTGCACAGTGTAATTATTTATCATATTAATTCTTCCTTACTTACTTTCATATGTATGTCATCAGTATTATTGTTACATATGTATTTAAGTGAAGTGCAGAAAATAAGGAGAAATATGAACTAAAGAAAAATTAAGATTTCCTTTCCTTGGCTTTGTTCTTCCTTTGATCTAAATAAGCTTACACTATATATAAACATTTATTTCTCATGGAGAACAGGTTATTAAATATA